ACGGTAGCATGAGACGGCTCAGTGCAGCAGTGGCAGGGGAAGAGTAGCACGCAACTACAGCGTCGTACAAGGTCTGAGCACTCTTGTACTGACTAAAGTGCGCGCGCTCAGTGGTGGGCAAGTGGCGACGCACAGCAAGACGTGCAGCAGCATCGCGAGTGGCCCACTGAGACCGAACAGTGGGGTCAGCATCAGCAGCAGGGGCAGGGGAGGCGCCAGAGGTGAGGTCAAAGAGAGAGAGACCGTCCGCTCTATCGCACTGTAAAAACAACTGCAGGTCGTCGACCCAGACCTCAAAGTCAATGGCTCGACCCTCAGCGTCAAAAGCGAGGACACTGGGGGTAGCCATGACGACAGACTAGCAGTGCAAGCAGCGGGGAAGGGTACTCAGTAGCAGTGGGGCGGTGCCGTGCTCACCAGACAGGACAGGTCGGGCGGTCCGGTAGCAAGGCGGCTCGGCGGCTCCTGGGCGGCTCTGCTGCTGCTGGGCGGCTCGGCTGCTGCTGGGCGGCTCGGCGGCTCCTGGGCGGCTCGGCTGCTCCTGGGCGGCTCGGCTGCTGCTGGGCGGCTCGGCTGCTGCTGGGCGGCTCGGCGGCTCCTGGGCGGCTCGGCTGCTCCTGAGCGGCTCGGCTGCTGCTGGGCGGCTCGGCTGCCGCTGGGCGGCTCGTCTGGTGCTGGCCGCGTAGGTAGGGCGGCTGGGCCGCTGGTAGGGCGGCGGGTGGGCCGCAGGTAGGGCAGCGGGTGGGCCGTAGGTAGGGCGGCGAGCAGGCCGCAGGTAGGGCGGCGGACGGCCGCAGGTAGGGCGGCGGGTGGGCCGCAGGTAGGGCGGCGGGACGGCCGCAGGTAGGGCGGCGGACGGCCGCAGGTAGGCGGCGGGTGGGCCGCAGGTAGGGCGGCGGGACGGCCGCAGGTAAGGCGGCAGAGAGCCGCAGGTAGGGCGGCGGTAGGGCCGCAGGTAGGGCGGCTGGTGGGCCGCTGGTAGGGTTGCGGGTGGGCCACAGGTAGGGCGGCAGCAGGGCCGCAGGTAGGGCGGCGGTGAGCCGCAGGTAAGGCGGCGGTAGGGCCGCAGGTAGTAGGCGGCGGGGCCGCGAAGAGGAAGCGGCGGGGCCGCGTCGAGGAAGCGGCGGGGCCGCGACGAGGAGGCGGCGGGGCCGCGACGAGGAAAACGGCGGGGCCGTGAGGAGGAGGCGGCGGGGCCGCGACGAGGAGCGGCGGGGCCGTGTCTAGGAGGCGGCGGGGCCGCGACGAGGAAGCGGCGGGGCCGCGAGGAGGAGGGCGGCGGGGCCGCGACTAGGAGGGGCGGCGGGGGCCCGCAACTGAAAGGGCGGCGGGGCCGAGAGAAGGGCGGCGGGAGCCGCGAGGGGGAAGGGCGACACTGAGGTTCGCGAGAAAAAAAAGAACGCGCGCCTCGGGGCGCGCTTCGGTGGGCCCTAGAGAACAGTCCCTAGGATGGGACCTGCTCTGATTCCATGTGAGAATAAGAACGTGAATGGATGAAACTATGAAATGTGTGAGTACAAGTACCACCCTAATTGGGTTGTACCCCCTATGGGATACCCCACTATAGCCTACACAACAGCATAAGCTATAAATGTTCTGACAGTAGTGGCGGCTGCTCTAGGGGCGGTTGTTGCAGTGGCGTCTGCTCCAGGGGCGACTGCTGCAGGGGCGGCTGCTCCAGGGGCGGCTGCTGCAGTGGGCGGTTGCTCCAGGGGCGGCTGCTGCAAGGGGCGGCTGCTGCAGTGGCGGCTGCTGCAGGGGCGGCTGCTGCAGTGGCGGCTGCTCCAAGGGCGGCTGATCTAGTGGCGGCTGCTCCAAGGGGCGGCTTGCTGCAGTGGCGGCTGCTATAGTGGCGGCTGCTCCAGGGGCGGCTGCTCCAGAGGCGGCTGCTGAGTGGCTGCTGCTCCAGGGGCACCTGCTGCTGCTAGAGCGGCTCGGCGGCTCAGCTGCCCGCTAGGGCGGCGACGGGGCCGGGTAGGGGCGGCGACGGGGCCGCTAGGGGGCGGCGACGGGGCCGCTAGGGGCAGCGACGGGGCCGCGGTAGGAGGGGAGCGGCGACGGGGCCACGTAGGGGGCGCTACGAGGCCGTGTAGGGGTGGCGACGCGGACCGCGTAGGGAGGGGAGTAGCGACGGGGCCGCTAGGATCGGCGACGGGGCCACTGAGGGGTGGCGACGGGGGCCGCGTAGGGGGCGGCAACAGGGCCGCGTAGGGAGGTGAGCGGCGACGGGGCCGCTAGGGGCGGCTACGGGGCCGCTAGGGGCCGCGAGGGACTAGAAGGGCGGCTACGGGGCCCGCTAGGGGCGGCGACGGGGCCGCTGAGGATGGCGCGAGGGGCCGTGAGAGGGGCCTCTAACAGAGGTCGACAGAAGGGCAGCCCACAAGGCACGCCTCGGCAGGAGCGACTGTCGCTCTAGTTGGAAAAAAAAAGTTCCAGTGGCGGGCTTAAGGAAGTGTTCCCACTAGGGAACCTGCTCTATACCATGTCAAGAAATGAGGAATGAATGAACTAGTAGCAGGTGGGTACAAGTAGGAAAACCTAGCGGTGTTGTATCCCATATTGTCTACCCCACTATAGCCACAAACAACTACAGCATATAAGTTTGACATTATGAGGGTTATTTTTTTGTGGGTTCCAAATTGTCGGTGGGGAGTTCGCTGGTTGACATCAAACGTCCCTGCCACGCAGTAATCATCCTATTGGGCATTTCTCTCCTGACAGTGTGGAAGTCGGTTCGGCGAACGTGTGGCGCGTCCAGGTTCGGCAGTCAGTCTCGATTCACAAGAGTGGAGGAATGGAGGCTTGTGGGGTTGAACGTGGCGACACAACACTGGCTAGTGTTTTAACCATTCTTTCGTGCGTGCAGGCGCATCTACAGAGACGTTACCGTGAACTTGCACTACACAACTTCATCTGTCGGACGACTCGGTTTAGTTCTGTCGTTCTGAACTAGCTTCCCCGTGCGAGGACTTACGACAGACACGTCATGCAAGAATGCATGCGAAATCGTTGTGTTGGGCGGCGGATTCGCGAGTTTCTGAACGGGTCCGTTCATAATTTCCATCATACGCGCCACTTTTACATATACATGCCACTTCGTCTGGGTTTGATTGGGTATAAACGATCGGGTTTACATGCCACAATTCATATATACGCACCGGTGGAACCCACTGCCAGGATTATGCCACCTGGGACTGACAGTGATTGTGTTGTTCCTAGCTGTTGTACGAAGTGGTCAGGGATTCTAAGTCCATCATACTCCAACACCAGATGCAGTTCTACATGGCGTAATCATGTGCTTCGCGTCTCGCCGTTAAAAAAACCCGGGCAGCGGGATGATCATCTACAAATTGGCGCGTGGATAGCCTAGGTGTTGTATCAGATCCACAATGGAGGAACCTCCGGCTAATGGCCGTGACATGTATAACATTATCCTGGAGCAGTTCGACATAGAGTTGAACCCGAGGAGGGGCCTACTATCAATGACAACGCTGCCATTCAGGAGGGTAACTGGTACTCCTCGCAGGATCATTCCCTCTTTGCCTTGCTTGATGATGCGGTAGTGCATAAATACGGTTTCCACATGAAGTCTACCAGAAAAGCATCGGCGCTAGCGTTGTGCAAGAGTCAGAGGCTAGGGTTGGACCCCCCTTGTCCATGGCGCTGCAGCTAGGCTCGTCTCGAGCGGAACGGACCGTGGCAATCGTAGAGCTGTCCTATCCCGCAGAGCACACATGCGACCGTGTCTACCGGACCCGGTTTTGGCCCGTAATGGGACGTAAGAGGAAAGTACCTTTGGCGGAAATTCGGCAACTTCGTCCGTGCAGCGCCATTCAACGCCCCTTGGGACTACGCCAGGCAGATTACGGCCTGCTCTGGTCCGAAGTTAACTTACAACAACGCGTACCGGTGAGCGTACACCCGTCATAGGCCGAACATCAAGGGAGCTTTTCTTCCAGCATCTGTGTTGCCTCCACTTCACTCATTTCCCGATACCACCCATACATTCCACCCACGCAGGCTGAAGGTAGGCATCACGGCGCAGCGATTCGGCGACTGGTGCGAGTCATTCCGCTACATTCCGGCGGTGCAAGAGCCCATTCGGCAGATCGACAGCGGAGCAACCGTGGAGCTTTTGACTTACAGCCACGATTTCTCCGCTTCTTCGTGGCGTCGAGTGCAAAACGTAAAGCACTGAAGACGTGCAGGCCTATCATTGCACTGGAGGGGACTTTCCTTATCCGTGCTCGGAAGGCTACTCTGCTGTACGCCAACGCGATGGACGGCAATCAACAAATCATCCCGATCGCGTGGGCGCTCGTAGAGAGCGAAACCAAGGACACATGGACTTTGTTTTGCCGGCTCTTTGATAAGCACTGCTCCGACTGGAAGGGACGGGACGACGCGGCTATCATTCAGCGACCGGGACAACGGTCTCATCCCGGCAGTGAAGGAAGTGTTCCCTGAGAAAGGTGGCGCACAACTTCTGTGGGTGGCACATACAGCAAAAACGTGAGCGGTTCGGGAAGACTTCCGCAGACATGTTATGGGCGGCTTTGGACAGCCCGGTCTTTGAGCAAGTACAACGAGCTCAAGGTCGGTGCAGGGGAATCCCATCCCCTGCTCACGACTTACCTCTACGGTGCAGCGCCAGTGGCCGGGCTGGGCCAATCCCCACTCCACCAGCTGCCTTCGTATTCGCCAACTGCAAACGTTCAGCAAACAGCGCCGGACGCGTGCGACCGCCAAGAACATTGCGCCGAAGCAGGTCGGCGTGCTCGCCAAGCACACTCGCTAGCGACGCGGCCGGCTAACAGAGACAGGGCGGCGCAGGACGCCCACCTCCGAATGCCGCAGCGGCGGCGCATTCAGCAGCGCCCCGCCCGTCCACAACACCGTCGGCCCGCTGCTATACGACTCGCAAAGCCGCTGCACATGCATCGTCTGTAGCGCTCCAGCCCATCTGCAGCGCCAGGGCCGTCCGCAGCGCCCCGCCAGTCCTACAGCACCGTCGCCCGCAGTTGCGACCCGCCCAGACCGCTGCACATGCATTGTCCGCAGCGCCCAGCCCATCTGCAGCGCCAAGGCCGTCCGCAGCACCCCACCCGTCCACAGCACCGTCGCCCGCTGCTGGCGACCCGCCCAGCCGCTGCACATGCAACGTCCCGCAGCGCCCAGGCCATCTGCAGCGCTAGGGCCGTCCCGCAGTCGCCCCGCCCGTCCACAGCACCGTCGCCTGCTGCTGCGACCCGCCCAGCCGCTGCACATGCATCGTCCGCAGCGCCAGGGCCGTCCGCACCGCCCCGCCTGTCCACAGCACCGTCGGCTGCTGCTAGCAGACCCGCCAAGCCACTGCACATGCAACGTTCGCGGCGCCCAGCCCATCTGCAGCGCCAGGGCCGTCCGCAGCGCCCCGCCCGTCCACAGCACCGTCGGCCGCTGCTAGCGACCCCACCCAGCCGCTACACATGCATCGTGCCCTGCCGCCAAGGGCCGTCCGCAGCGCCCCGCCCGTCCACAGCACCGTCGCCTGCTGCTGCGACCCGCCCAGCTGCTGCACATGCATCGTCCGTAGCGCCCAGCCCATCAGAAGCGCTGGGGCCATCCGCCGCGCCCCGAGCGTCCAACAGCACTGTCACCCCAATTCAGCTACACGCATATCCGGGGCACTCGCATCATCCGCAACAGCCGTCACCATCCACTCCACCAGCTGGCCTTCGTATTTGCCGACGCAACGTTCAGCAAACACGCCGGACGCGTGCGACCGCCAAGAACATTGCGGCCGAAGCACGGCGGTGTGCTTGCCAAGCACAGTCGCAGTGACGCGGCCGCTGACACAGACAGGGCAGCGCAGGACGCCCACCTCCGAATGCTGCAGCGGCGGGGCATTCAGCAGCGCCCCGCCGGTCCACAGCACCGTCGCCCGCTGCTACGACCCGCAAAGCCGCTGCACCTGCATTGTCTGTAGCACCCAGCCCATCTGCAGCACCAGGGCCGTCCGCAGCGCCCCGCCCGTCCACAGCACCGTCGCCCGCTGCTGCGACCCGCTCAGCTGCTGCACCATGCATCGTCCGCAGCGCCAGGGCCGTGCGCCACAGCCCCGCCTGTCCAACAGCACCGTCGGCCGCTGCTGTGATCCGCCAAGCCGCTGCACATGCATCGTCCGCGACGCCCAGCCCATCTGCAGCGCCAGGGCCGTCCGCAGCGCCCCGCCCGTCCACAGCACCGTCGGCCGCTGCTGCGACCCACCCAGCCGCTACACATGCGTCGTCCGCAGCGCCCAGCCCATCTGCAGCGCCAGGGCCGTCCGCAACGCCCGGCCCGTCCACAGCACCGTCGGCCGCTGCTGCGACCCACCCAGCCGCTACACTTGCATCGTCCACAGCGCCCAGCCCATCTGCTGCGCCAGAGCCGTCCTCCCACCACCCCCGCCCGTCCACAGCACCGTCGCCCGCTGCTGCGACCCGCCCAGCCGCTGCACATGCAACGTCCGCAGCGCCCAGGCCATCTGCAGCGCTAGGGCCGTCCGCAGCGCCCCGCCCGTCCACAGCACCGTCGCCTGCTGCTGCGACCCCGCCCAGCCGCTGCACATGCATCGTCCATAGCGCCCAGCCCATCTACAGCGCTAGGGCCGTCTGCTGCGCCCCGCGCGTCCACAGCACTGTCACCCAATTCAGCTACACGCACATCCGGGGCACTCGCATCATCCGCAACGCCGTCACCATCCAATCCGTACGACCCATCTGCTGCAACAGGTTCGTTTGAACAACGGTTTGTCAATGCGCCCCTCTGTTCGTTAGTACCATGATATGTGTGGTAGTAACGACTACATCCACGATGTAATCTCTACATATTTGTGTTAAGGTCTCATACATGAGAGGCTGTCTTAAAGTGATAGGGTACTGCTCATTTGGTACTGTAAAACGCACAGCCAGAATTTCCGTTTCCGTGTCCCTATTGCAGCCCATTTTGCAGGAACAACCGCACCATCCTATTCCCAACCGGAGCCACCTCCACTTCGACGATCCTTACCAATAGTCATGCGTAGCGGATGGCGAGGAACAGCTGCGTGCTTTAGCTTTTGCAACTTTGTTCTGAGAGCTGCGGTCCCGGGAGTCACCCCACCAACTGAGGCACCAAACCGAGAGCCACCACCGACCAGGGCACCCACCCGCCAGCCACCACCGACCGCGGCAGCAAACCCGTGACCCTCCTCCTCCCACCGTGGACCCGGGAACGGCGCTTGGGAACACCAACGAGGAGAGGCCTAGCGTTGTAGAAGATGAGGCGACCGTCGTGGAAGAGGACTCCCTAGAGGACGTTGAGGATGGTGCGGGTCTGAAAAAGCCTTCGCGGTGATTACACTGCACGCAGGAACAGAATCTGGGTGTACGAGAAGCAGTGGGCTCGATGTGTGACACCAACGAGAAGATTCGGCATCTACACGAGCAACATGGCGGAGTTGACCAACGGGGCCGTAAAATCCATCCGGCGCCTGCCCTCCGCGTATCTGTTAGCATCAATGTGGGACTACAACGTCAAGAAGTTTCATGAGAGGCGTGAGGAGGCTAGAGCCCGGGATGACTACTTTACGGAGTGGGGGAGAAAACGGTATGAGGAGAAGTGCGAGCGGGGAAAGAACTACGAGGTGAAAATCTCCAACATCGAGTTCTTCGCGGAGGTGATAAACAACGGCAACGCGACGGACCCAACCCCACGCAGCTACAACGTCGACCTATGTGGCGAGGGTAGCTGTGAGTGCGGCAATTGGAAAGAGTACGATTTTCCGTGCGCACATGCCATGGCGTTTTTCCCCTGGGCAAACAAGAACGGGTGGGAGTATGTCAGCGACTACTACACCACAGTCAACTGTCAGTAGATCTGCATTGTGGATGCCCGATTGATCCTGGAGAGGGTTACAGGTGCGTTCGCCTGGGGGGTTATGGGCGCTCTGACCCGCTACTGAAACAAGCCCTTTTATCCCAATGGTCTAGAGGTTGGGATTCTGACATGGTATCAGAGCGATCTCAGGTTCGATTCCCGGTGTATGCACATGTAGGCCGTTGCCGCTGTGCTTGGTCATGGGCCTCCCAGTATGGGGGGGTGTCAGTAAATCTGCACTGTGGATGCCCGATTGATCCTGGAGAGGGTTAGAGGCGCGTTCGCCTGCGGGGTTATGGGCGCACTGACCCGCTACTGAAACAAGCCCTTTAATCCCAATGGTCTAGAGGTTGGGATTCTGACATCAACCTCCGCCGCACATACTCCCACACCATTCCCGGGACCGACATCGTCACCCTGATGGCATAGACAACACCTGTGCCTCAGGGAGTGTCTGACACGCCTACATTCACTCGTAGGGGTCCTCGCCATCCCCCTTCCTACAGGCGCAGGGATGCTCTTCCGGCGAACTATCGATACACAACCTACTTGGGGCCTAACCACAACTCAGCTACCTGCACCCAGAAGTATGGATCCGACAGGCCTGCGGGAGGTGTTTACCACACAGTAGGATGATTTTTGCCGGATTTTAGCAGATGGTAATCGTACTACATTTGGTGCACTGAGCAGCATAGTCGACACCTAGTACAGTGGCCCTCGAGAATAATCAATGTAGCTTCCATGTGTAATTCATCAGCTACTTTGCCCACTTCGGTTTCGGGATACATCTAACAAACCCGGTACAGTCGCAATCCCAGTTGCCGTCCATGGATCTTATGTGAGAGTACGACAGCTTATGCTAGCTATGCTTGCCTGCCTTTACTTTATGTGACAAAACTAGAACGAGGAATGAAAATGTCTAAGTGAAAGTTGGGTACAAATACAAACCAAGCTCAGGGTGGATCACAACATCACCACACATTCCGAGCACAAGGTGAAGGCCACAAGGCCAGTTCACATGCAGGAGTACACATATATATAAAAGGCTAGACAAGCAAGAGCAGGCGTATGTATATATGTAGCAGTACAAGCAAGGTCAAGAGGTGAGCAAGTGAGGTAAGGCAGGCACAAGACCTAGCTGAGTACAGAAGCGCTGATGATCACAAGGCGCAAGTGCCTTGGTGAAGATATCAGCAGTGTTGGCCTCAGAGGCCACGTACGGAAGACGTAGCTGACCACACAGTTGTAGCTCACGAGCAAGGAAGTAGCTAAGAGCAATCTGCTTCGTTCTGTGCTCCAGTCTCTGCTCTCGACACAAGGCTAGCATGGCCTTGTTGTCTACGTACAGCACTAGAGGAGAACGAGGCGGCTCTCCAAGGTCAGTCAGCAGGTAGGTGAGCCAGCGAAGCTCCTGTGCAGGCATGGCCCCGGCGTAGATCTCAGCCTCACAACGAGAGCCAAGAACACAAGACGAGCGGGTAGACCGCCATGAAACAGAGCCGGAACCAAGGCTAAAGGTGTAATCCTGTGACGACCGCTGCGTAGCCTGGTCGTCTGCCCAAGAAGCGTCCGCGTGCCCAGTGAGGACCACTGGACTCTGCCCTCCAAGCACTAGCCCCATGCCCGACGTACGGGACACGTAGCGCAACACCCTCTTCGCTGCAGCCATGTGCTCTGGTGTGTGTCTCCTAGGAGCAACATAGCGTGCAAGAATGCTAAGAGGGTATGCAAGGTCAGGTCGTGTGCAGGTCATCAGGTACATGAGGCAACCAACAAGCTATGGGTACGGGCCACTCGACTCTACGAACTCATCCGAAGGCAGAGCTGAGAGCGAGTGGCGAGTAGGCAGAGGAGTGGCCTGAGGCGAGGAGTACGTGAAGCCGAAGCGCTGAAGGACCTGCTGCACCATGTGTGACTAAGTGAGGGTAATGGTGCGCTGTGCTTTGTCCCGGGTGATCTGCAAGCCAAGGTAGCTGCGCAGTTCACCCAGGTCTGTGCACGTGTGTCTCTTCTGCAGCTCGGACTTCATGTGGGCGAGTCCAGCAGTGTCAGCTGTGGCAAAGACCAAGTCGTCGACATACGTGAGGATGTAGAACGGCGGCAAAGAAGTGTCGGTGCGCAGAAACAGCGACGGGCCGGCAGTAGAGGGAGCAAACCCAAGAGCCGCAAGCGTAGTCCTCAGTGTGTCGTGCCACTCACGCGGTGCCTGGCGGAGACCGTAGACTGGCCGCCGGAGGCTCGACTGGGTGCCAAGAGGAAAAGTCCCAGTGAAGCCAGGTGGGCGGCGTAGCCAGATCTCCTCGTGTAGGCTACCCTGCAAGAAAGTAGTGCTGAAGTCAAGAGAGTGAAGCTCGTAGTCGCGCTGAGTGGCTATGTGCAGTAGCAACTGAAGAGTGGTCATCTTCGGGGTGGGAGAGAAGGTCTGAAAGTAGTCAACTCCCTGCTGCTGACTGAAGCCACGAGCCACGTACCGCGCCTCGAAGACAGGCGGAGAACCCGGCGGCCGCTTCACCCCGAAAATCCACATGCCATTGACGATGTTCGCCCCAGGAGGGGGAACCGCGTCAACGTATGTGCCTGTGGACTTCCTGGAAGCCATCTCTGCGTCCATAGCTGCCTGCCACTTAGAGGAGTAGGGACCCTCTATTGCCTCCGCGTAATAGCGCGGAGTTGAGATGTAAAGTGCATCCGGGTCTCCCTCAGAGGTAAGCAGTACGGACACGAGATGAGGTGAAGCAGCAGCCAAACACTGGAACTCCTCCTGCCTCTCCTCAAGGACGTCCATGCGAAGGGTACACTCACCCCCGACAGACGGAGGACAGACAGACGTAGACTCAGCAACAAGACTAGCAGTGGAGTCTAGACGACAGCGAGCAGCAAAGTCGACGAGCTCAGGAACTAGGGCACACGCAGCATGTCAGAATATTATTCTTATGTTCTAGCCTGTAGTGGGGTGCTCTATAGCGAGTACAACCCTTCTAGGGTTGGCTATTTGTATCCCCATTTCTGCTAGTTCATTTCTCTTTCTTTCTTCTAACTTTTGTCATGGAATCAGAGCAGGTCGATCCCCTTGGATCGATCCTGTGGGTGGGTTACCACCTCGCTTTCGCTGCTACTTTTTCCTCCCGCCGTGCGCCCCGAGGTGCGCGGCGATTCTTTGCCCGCTGTGCGCCCCGAGGCGCGCGGCGGGCTTCTGCCCTACGTCGCGGCCCCGCCCTGCGTCGCGGCCCAGCCCCTCGAAGCAGCCCCGACTGTCGCGGCCCCGCCCCTCGACGCGGCCCCGCCCTACGTCGCGGCCCCGCCCTGCGTCGCGGCCCCGCCCCTCGAAGCGGCCCCGCCCTATGTCACGGCCCCGCCCCGACCGTCGCGGCCCCGCCCCTCGACGCGGCCCCGCCCTACGTCGCGGCCCCGCCCTGCGTCGCGGCCCCGCCCCTCGAAGCGGCCCCGCCCTACGTCGCGGCCCCGCCCCTCGTCGCGGCCCCGCCCCGACCGTCGCGGTCCCGCCCCTTGTCGCGGCTCCGCCCTCCAACCAGGCCCGTGGTGGGTCCCTTTCACCACCCGCCTCCCCCCCCCCCCCCCCCCCCCCCCCCCCCCCCCCCCCCCCCCCTTCCCCCTGCCATTTCCCGTCGTCCGTCGAGGCGACCTGAGGGGCGAGCTGTGGGGTGGCGGGTATGGGGGTGGCCGGTGTGCCTTCCTCCCTTGCTCCTCCTCCTCCTTCGTCTCCCACTGCTGCAGC